AATCTATGTTAATTTTATTAATTTTACGTATCTGTTTTAACACAAGGGCGTGACGTCACTAGGGCGTCACACACGTCCCGATTGTAACGCTAGGTATGACGTCAGAATAAAACTGGTTGAAACGTGACTTTCCGTGTGTCTTACATGACGGGGGTATGTTGGGAGACTTTTCGTGATGGTTTTACATGTGGTACTAACTCCCATGAAATCCCGGACGCTGATTGGTCGAGAGTTAATTAATTCAGTCACGTGTTTGAAATACTCGATTCTGATTGGTCGTGCCACCCAGTAGCGACTAAGACTACTACTAATAATAATGAGACACTTATAAAGCGCCCTTCCCCCAGGGTCCAAAGGCGCTATTTAAAGATAAAATTTAAAATTTAGCAATAGAAAACTACAAAAACTTAAGATAAAATAATTTAAGATCTGATATAAAAACACCACAGTCACGTAATCAATTTAAAAAAGGCTCGTCTAAAAAAAATTGTTTTCAACTGTCTGTTAAAAAGTCTAGTGATCCAGCATGCCTAATATGCTGAGGAGGACTGTTCCAAAGAAGCGGCGTAGCAACAGAAAAAGCTCGACGGCCATAACTGTTTATGTTAAAAGCAGGCATGACAAGTAGAGTTTTTTTGAAGACCTAAGATCCCGTACCGGAAGGTAACATTGAAGAAGATCTTTGATATAAGTAGGATCATGTCCATGGAAAGTCTTGCAGATAACGATAAGTATTTTCAATTCAATCCGGAGATAAATCGAGAGCCAGTGAAGATTCGCAAGAAAAAGCTCGACGGCCATAACTGTTTATGTTAAAAGCAGGCATGACAAGTAGATTTTTTTTGAAGACCTAAGATCCCGTACCGGAAGGTAACATTGAAGAAGATCTTTGATATAAGTAGGATCATTTCCATGGAAAGTCTTGCAGATGACGATAAGTATTTTCAATTCAATCCGGAGATAAATCGAGAGCCAGTGAAGATTCGCAAGAACAGGTGTAATATGACAGAACTTGGAAGAGAGAGTAACAACACGAGCAGCTGCGTTCTGCTGACGTTGGAGCTGTTTATTCACGTTCTTAGTTAAACCATACAGTAACGAATTACAGTAGTCAAGCTTTGATGTAACAAGAGCTTGAACAAGAAGCTGGGCTGCATCAAAGGTGAGATGTTTACGAATGAGCCTAATTTTACGGAGATGATAGAATGCAGATTTGCACATTGCTGTCACCTGAGGAACCATATTCAAAGATTCGTCGAAGAGAACTCCAATGTTTCCCGCTCTTGGGGAAGCCAGCACTCTCTCATCACAAACATGAATATGTGACAAAGGAGGTCGACCACGGTGCAAAGATGACATCACAAGAAGTTCAGTTTTGTCTTTATTTAAATTTAGCTTATTCAGAAGCGTCCAGGAGTCAATTACTAGTACACAGCCTTCCAATCTACACTTGCTCAATTGCATATCATTAAGGGATGACGTCTCGAATGTTACATAAAGCTGCCTGTCATCCGCATAAAAGTGAAAACTTAGTTCATGATTACTGGTGATATCACTCAGTAGCGAGGCGTACAATGAGAATAAAAGAAGTCCAAGAACCGAACCCTGGGGTACACCAACTGCAGAACACGTCGCTCGGAGGTACAGATCCATTGGTATTTACAAACTGAGTGCGATCACCCAACTACAATCGAAACCATTCCAATGCCGTACCACTAATCCCAAATCGACGAGAAAGGCGCGAAAGTAAGATACAGTGATCCAAAGTCTCAAATGCCGCGGAAAGATCAAGGAGCTGCAAAATCACTGATCTTTTCTCATCTAAGGCAATTGTGATATCATTATGTCTCATTACGTCTCAGTGCTGTGAAGTTTCCTGAACGCTGGTTGACATAAGACATTGAGACCATTGGCATCTAAATAATCAGTAACCTGCTTGGCAACACATTTCTCGACTACTTTAGACAGAAAACCCTACTTCGAAATTGGCCTAAAATTCTTGAATTCATCAGAACTCAAAGACTGCTTCTTGAGCAGTGCCATAATTTGACACTGACCACTTTCAAATCAGTAGAAAGTACTCCAGATTCCACTGAAAGGTTGATAATCTTGGTTATCACTGAACTGACAATTCATGATAAAAACAGGAATAGGGTCTAAGTCACAAGACTTTAAACTCATAATGTCAGGTCTCCGAAGCAAATCGCCGTAGACTACCAATTTCCTTTACTTTGTCGGGAACCCTCATTCTTCCCGTAAATAAATAATGGAATTCTTGGCCCAGCAGAAGCGGTATTGGTTCTGTTCTTTAGATTTCTTCGCTTCGAACAACAGGTTTTGAATAGGGGGTGAGATGATCGAAGATTTTGAGTCTATCGAGAACACTATCGGCAGACAGACCGATGTTTGATGGGTTGACTTGAGAGGCACTTTGTCGAGTTTCCACGACACTTGCTTTTGCTAGGTATCTCACGAATTTGCAGATGATGGGTTTCGGGGCGCCATTTTGCTGCCTTTCGGGGGCGCGATGAGCAATGTCCGACAGAAACACTTCTCTCCCCAACTCCTGGAATAATTTTACGCTCAGGGCGCTTGTTTCAGCTGCGGTTTCTCTGCTTTTCTCTGGCAGGCCAATTATTGAGTTGGTAGCTCTATTCCTCAACCTCGTCAATGGGGTTGCCAACACGTGCAACTTCAGCGTTGCGCTGATTAAGGCTTAATGCCTTGACCTGATTAACGACATCAAAATTAGAGGCCGACAGGTCGTCGTATTCGTCGCTCCGATATTGTAGACTACGAGACACGGTTTCATCATTCGAAGAATTATGGCTGCTATTTCCAGAGGTAGCGATTACTTCGGCACCAGAGGTAATGGCCCAGTCGATAAGAACCTACTCTTTCAGCTGCGCTATTTCCTTCGAAAGAGCGTCGACTTTATCCTATATATATTTCAGTCTTTTGTATTATGTCATTTAGTGATCGCACACGTCAACTCACCAAGAAACTAGCGCGGAAGGGGCACGAATTTCCTCATACTTAATCAATTCATATTCACTGAATTCTGCTTAAGATACAGTACAGTACACACTAAAAGACGCCCCTTTATTTCTCAAGGTTTTCCCTGCTGATTATCGTGGACAATATTAAGAATGATGTAAAGTGACAAAAAATACAATGCACCTTAGTGAACTGAAATTTAAGGGAATTTAAAATATTTTACATTGTTGAAACTGTTGTTAACAATTGAATCCCCTTGGTAAGAAGAATCTATCACATAACTGTATCAAATTAGGCAAACACCACAAAAGATATGTGAACTATACAAAACGATTTTTAAAACAGATTACTTTTTTGGCAAAAGGCAAAAAAAAGATACAAGATACACACTCAAGCATCATGCATACCTATAATATAAACAGGAAGAAAGAAATGCGCTCTTACTTTCTGATTTGAGATAGGAATGAACTTCAACCTCGCAGAGCGTCAAAGCTATCTTGCGAAGTAATCTGATGTACAAATATCTGCCATATGCTTTGGGACGACAGGAATATGTCTTGGAACCTCCTTGTGGGATTTGTGTGATATTTGCACAAAGATGGTTGTTTGCCCCTCCATTTGTTGTGTCATTTCCTTGCAAAGCGAATAAAAGAAAATATGAGGTAACATTAACTGCAGTATTTGAACATAATTCTTGTATAATAATAGTTGAAAAGGTAACAAAGAAACGATCTTGGTATTCGCTTTCAGATCAGGGGAGTGCTACAATCGCACTTCCAAAACCTTTACATTGATGTATGTATTGGCTCACTGAAATAGAATCTGTGCGAATCTGTACTTTATATGAATGTAACCAAGTAGGAGGAAAATGCTTGTAACGGATCGGCGCCCGAAACCTCAAGAAACAACTTGTTTGGGTTCGACGCGATAAATTACGATTACGTGGATGTACTTTAATTTTACGGAAGCTCTCCTTGAAGCAATCTTAATTTATCACAACATCCACGAATCCAAGATCCCATCGTAAACTGAAACAATAACAATATCTATAAGTAATTGCATGATTTCGAGCACAAACAACGTGCGAAACAACGGCAAGGGAAAGACAAAAAAGCGTGCTGCACGTGCAAAAGCCAATGGAAAAGTAATCTCATATTAATTGAAATATTTCAAAATGAACAAGGAACAAATCTGAACAAGGTAAAGCAACTGATTACAGCATCTCCCACACTTACTACCTACCAACTCTTATCTCAGCTCCGTTTAACCTGCTCNGAAAAGTAATCTCATATTAATTGAAATATTTCAAAATGAACAAGGAACAAATCTGAACAAGGTAAAGCAACTGATTACAGCATCTCCCACACTTACTACCTACCAACTCTTATCTCAGCTCCGTTTAACCTGCTCCCACAGCAGTCCCCTCTGTTGAGTATATTCACTTCAGCTACAGGCTCTACTCGTCCCAGGTCTACCCGCCACCAAGGACTGTTGTCTTCGAGAGTGTGTGTACATTTGCCAATCATTGTACCCCTATTTCCATCCACCGCATTGCTAGCATAGTAATTACCGAGTCTACTTGACTGAGAGGTCGGCTTGAATAGGGCAATATTACTCTGAACTGAAAACCAAACAAATAATAACAATTACAGATAAACACAGCATGGTTTCAGGCTGTGCTCTCCCCAGCTCTTGGCGACTAGAAAATCTCAGAAATCACATGCTGGCATGGGCACCCTGGATCTCACAGCTATAGAGCATTGGGCCCCTTAGAAGTTTTCTTAGGGTACAGCCTTAAACAGCGGAAAATCAAGTATTGAAGGCATTTCTGAATCAACTTGTTAATGTTCAAAGTACATGTACAGCTGTACATACATGTAGTGTGTCTGCAGTGCAGAATAAAAAGATGGTCATGGCAAGTATTTTTTAAATCAGATTACTTGTTTAGTAAAAGGAGAAAAAAAAAGATACACACACAAGCATCATGCATACCTACAAAATAAACAGGAGGAAAGATTAACACTCTTACTTAATGAATAAACTTCAACCTCGCAGAGAGTCAAAGTTTTTTTTCTGCCAGGTATTCTGATATACAAATATCTGCCATATGCTTTGGGACGACAGGAATATGTCTTGGAACCTCCTTGTGGGATTTGTGTGATATTTGCACAAAGATGGTTGTTTGCTCCTCCATTTGTTGTTTCATTTCCTGGCAAAGTGAATTAAAGAAAATGTGAAGTTCCAGAAAATATCCATACCCTAGCTGTTTAGGCTGTTGCTTTTTTTTCACATTTGATTCACCGTAATTTGGTCATGTTCTAAGCCTTCTTTTAACGTGTTCTAACAGGAATGACGTAATCAAATTTCACTCGGTGTTTAGTTTGAATGTAACGGGTTCTTTTGCAGATGACATTACTCGTGTAGTCAGTACGGTAAGGTATTGCCTCTATGGTTACTTATTAGAAAGTCCTTGAGATAATTAGACACCGTATTAAGGTAAATGAAAAAACAATATTTTGCTCACTCGCTGCGCTCGTTCGTAAAATATTGTTTTGCCACTCGAAAATAAAATTCATATCTTCGCGCCACCGTGTAATATTCTCTTTATATCTACCACTAGAGTCTACTTACATCCCACCCTCCTCTTTCCTGATTGCGATGATACTGGATGATTACCGCGATAATATCACGTTAGAATCTACTAAAGTCTATTTAGATCTCCCTTTCCCCTTTCCTGATTGCGATGATATCGGATATTATCGCGATAATATCACGTTAGAATCTATTAGAGTCTACTTAGATCTCCCTTTCCTCTTTCCTGACTGTGATCATATTGGATTTATCTGTAATAGCGGAGCTCCACCCGCGGCACTAGCAGAGCCCCATAGCTAAGGAAATGTGGTAATCTAGCCATCCGAGAAAATTTGGTAATCACGTGACCGTCCACCGAGCGAGCGAGCGACCGTCCATCCGAACCACAGGCATACCAATGTAAAATAACTCAATCAACAGGTATCGGAACTTAAATGCAACTCAAGGTTTTATTTGGCAGGAAATGACATGGCCGCCCGGACTTTTGGAAAGAAAAAACTCGTGTCTATTTCGGCATTATTTTTTACGTTTACACTAACGTGGATAACAGAGAAAGAGCTAAGGCGAGTTATTGAAAACAAAGGAGACAAATTTCGTAGGAAGAAAAACATGGCAATTCAAAGCGGCGGTGAGAAAATGAGAAATCCTAGCGGCCAGCAAAGTGAAAATGAGCAACAGTGAAAAATAAAAGCGAACATGAACACAGGAAACAAAATATTGGGTAAGCACATGCGACAATTCCTCCATAAAAATAATGTGTAACTGGGAAGTTTGACGTTTTAGTCGTACAAAACAGCGTTGTAGTCGTGCGAAACAACGGCAAGGGAAAGACAAAAAAGCGTGCTGCACGTGCAAAAGCCAATGGAAAAGTAATCTCATATTAATTGAAATATTTCAAAATGAACAAGGAACAAATCTGAACAAGGTAAAGCAACTGATTACAGCATCTCCCACACTTACTACCTACCAACTCTTATCTCAGCTCCGTTTAACCTNAAACAAAGGAGACAAATTTCGTAGGAAGAAAAACATGGCAATTCAAAGCGGCGGTGAGAAAATGAGAAATCCTAGCGGCCAGCAAAGTGAAAATGAGCAACAGTGAAAAATAAAAGCGAACATGAACACAGGAAACAAAATATTGGGTAAGCACATGCGACAATTCCTCCATAAAAATAATGTGTAACTGGGAAGTTTGACGTTTTAGTCGTACAAAACAGCGTTGTAGTCGTGCGAAACAACGGCAAGGGAAAGACAAAAAAGCGTGCTGCACGTGCAAAAGCCAATGGAAAAGTAATCTCATATTAATTGAAATATTTCAAAATGAACAAGGAACAAATCTGAACAAGGTAAAGCAACTGATTACAGCATCTCCCACACTTACTACCTACCAACTCTTATCTCAGCTCCGTTTAACCTCGTCCCACAGCACTCTCCTCTGTTGAGTATATTCACTTCAGCTACAGGCTCTACTCGTCCCAGGTCTACTCGCCACCAAGGATCGCTTTCTGTTAAAGTGTGTGTACACTTGCTGGACTGTGGACCCCTATTTCCATCCACCGCATTGCTAGCATACCAATCGGCATTGTATGTACTTGACTGAGAGGTCGGCTTGAATAGGGCAATATTACTCTGAACTGAAAACCAAACAAATAATAAAAATTACAGATACACGTAGCAGGGTTGTAGGTTGTGCTGTCAGCCCCAGCTCCTGGAGACCACTTCAGGGTCCTTAATTCTGTTCTTGGGAGACTAGAGAATTTCAGCTTTTGCATTGAAATCATATGCTTGGTAACCTGGGTTTCACAGGTACAGAGCATTGGGAACCTTAGAATTTTTCTTAGAGTACACGCTTAAAAAGAGGAAAATCAAGGATCGAAGACTTTCCAGAATCAACTTGTTAATGTTCAAAGTACATGTACAGTTGTATATTAAGTGTGTCTGCAGTGCAGTATAAAAAAATGGTCTTGGCAAGTATTGATCGGTAACTGTTCAAATTCTCAACCTCTTAATTTTGACAGGTTGGTCACAGACTATCTTGAAAATACATCTAGCCATCTCTCTTCATTCCTTGCCAATGAAGACCTTTCACAGGAAATACATCTGCGAAATGGCCCCCAAATTTCCATATTGATGACATGAATCAATATTTACAAAATTAATCTTGTAGTCATGGGGTTCTAGCTAGAAAATTGTTTGTCTTAAAGTCTCTCCTCGTCTATTTGCAGCAGCAAAACTCAAATTCTTCTTATAAAGAAGATTATATTCCAAGAATCATGACTTTTTTAGTTGATTCATGGCATTTACTGTCCTGTACATCTTTGTGACCTTTTGTATGTTTCTGTCATTCGTAAACAATAACTAAAAGAACAGAATGACAACTTTGACCAATCCCTGTTAGTTGACTAGATTCCAGACAAATCTACATATGATGATCTATATAAAATCTTTGGGGCAAAATTGCAGACCTCTTTCATGCGAAATTTAGTGGCAAGGAGTGAGGAGAGACTACGCCATACAGTGAATTACTTGCAAAGACTGTATTTTAACAAGATTTTTGAAAAGAATGAAAAAGATAATGGTTCAAGAGCTGATGTTGTTGCAAAAAGGAAAAAGATCTTTTCAATGATGCGAAGGAAGGAAGGCTCCACAACTGGCTAAAAAACTATATTCCTTAAAAACTGAACAATTTCTGCAATTAAAAATATCAAACCTCTGCTTCTAGGTATGCCAGAGACTTCTACTCGTAAACAAGCTCCACCATGTGTAGACCCAATAACAAAACGCAAGTATCTGGCAACAAATGCACTGAACAAAACCTGTTTTTCTACTGAGTTCTGATCGAAGTTTCCATCGAAGGTCTGGAAAAAAAAATCAAAATTGAGCAAAAAAAAGGCTTACCATTTAGATGGTAATTCTTAAAGTAGTAAAGATAGAGTTCAATGTATTAAACCCAGGGCTGTCACTAAGATTTCTAGTGGCAAGATATATGCAAATTATAGGTAAGGATCTGAACAGCAAGGAAATTCTATAGCTTTGCTTTCGTTTTGTTTCCTATGAAAGTAGCCAGGGGTCATACTGGTAGTAGGACATAGCTAGGAAATTCCTGGTCCCTGGCTCTTAGTGACTTTCCTGTGAACCCAGTGGGGTATCAACCTCTCACTCCCCACTTCCCCCCTGCTGGATTTAATTTTCTTTACCACATGGCATTTCTGCCTTAGATAACAAACTTTTCTCCTTTACACGCTTGTCATTCTTCCACCTCAGTATATAAGTGTGATGAAGGTAACCTTTGAACAGACTAGCATTCCATTCACAGGGGAGAAGCAATTTATACTCCTAGGTGCTTCATGCAGCAGAAAATGGGTTAAGCCCTGGGAGTTTGAGTACCCCAAACCCCCCCCTCCCCATCCTCCACATCATCCCTACCCCTATTCTTTCATCTTGCCCTTCCTAAAAACACCTGAACACCTGTAACTGTAGTATTAATGATACCAAAATTCTACTGTACAATAAAAGGGTATCCAAGTTATGACTCAATTAGCCAGGGTTGCTTTAACACTTTACGAAAGCAGACAAAAGCACAAACCAGAGCTAAATTGTTTCAGAGTGGTGTCCTGAAAGAAGTGACAACAGCCACAGCCTTTTTCTACCTCCTCCTACCCCTCCTCCACCGCCCCCCCCCCCCCCCCCCCCCTTAGAAAAGTATATATTTTTTGCCTTACCGTCCATAAATGAGCCCTTACCTGCTGAGCTAAAATTTAGGGAGAACACTGAATTGTCCGATGACCGACTGTTATTTGCAGCCTTGTAACCATTTAAGTCCCTATGGTGACCAACATCAATTTTCTCCTAACATTTTCCATTGATTATCAAGAAAAAGGGTTGGGAGAATTAGTATGTGTAATTAAATGGTGACGATTGAAATTAGGTAATAATTTCACAGGCATTTTGTCCAAGGACAAGGATTTTATTTTGCTNGTACTTTACTTTATGAATCTGAAAGCTGAAAAGTAGTAGTAAATTTACAGCGAGTTTTTCAAGTGTAGATCATTTGCCCATTGCTTTAAACCATTTATGTGGCAGAATCCTCTTGGAATTTTCTGTTTTTTTAAATATAGTTTTTTTATTTCAATCTCTAACAACACTTACCATGACTTACGTAGACAACAAAAGTTGCCTTTAAATAAACTAAAAAAAAATAAACAATAAAGAACAAAAAGAAATTACCATACTTTACAATAAATTACAGTACATTGTATTGCAGTCTTGCTACAAAAGTACTCTAAAATCAATGCAATTCTGATGTTGAGTATAGTCCTTACTGGTTGAATTAATATTGTTAGCAAAAAAACTTCTTCTCGATTAAAGGTTTCCATTTATAATAGTAATATTCACGTGAATTAATAGTTATTGCTATTTGTTTTTCTATCTCGGCGTTGTTTACCACTATGGTTAAATTAGAGGTCATCATTGATTACGGATCCGCGTTCGTCACTTACGGAAACGAAATCGAGTCGAAAGGAGTCTAGTTTCCCGGCCGAGATGCCCCTGATAAAATTAGTAGAGGCGGCTAATTTGTAGTCGCCCGTGATAGCTTGAAAATTTCTGCCTTTGTGCTACAGAAACACCAGATTAAGATGCCTTCTGACGAACGCGACAAACATTTATTAATAACTAGAGGAAATCATTGATTACGGATCCGCGTTCGTCAATCGAGTCGAACTGGCAAAGCATACCGCCTTTGTACACGGACAAAGTTACATAAAACAATAATAATAGAAAACAACAACAGCAGAAACAAAAACATCTATTTTGTAAAACCTTCCTAGGAGAATGTTGTGCAGAATGAACTCTAACTTAAATTCTTGGAATTTCAATTAAGCAAATTCATGCAAATTATGCAAAAATTACCCCCTAAATGGAGCATTAGAAACTTTCAGTCAAAGGCTCCTTTTACCTATTTTTATTTATTTATTTTTTCTATTTCGCTTTTCATTTCACTACCATTCTCTTCCAGGGTAAGCAATGAAAGCCTTTCTTTTTGCCCTAGTTTCTTCTATAGATTTTTTTTTATAGGGAACGAGCTCCTTTCGTCGTTCTTGTGTTCTCTTTCCTTGAAAGGGATTATCCTTTCGTCTAACAGCGGCGTTTATCAGTGAATCGTAAGAACGCTGCATGAATTGGTCTTGGTTTTTCGTTGTCAGAATTTTTCGCTCGCCTTGTTGGTGTACGATGCGCCCGTTCTATTTCAACATGTACACATAGAGTCTCTAGGCCCATGTGAGTAGCTATAAAGTCTTCGATGAAATCTGCACATTCTTGTCCTTCTGCTTTTTCCGGAACATGATAGTATACAAGGTTGTTTCGCCTAGACGTGTTGTGTAATTCCTCAACTTCGTTTTCCAGTTCCTCAAGCTTCTCTTTCTCCGCTTTCTTTCCAAGTCTTGTTCTACATCTGCCACATCACTGTTGCGACATTACCTTTGATGTTTTTTATATCGTATTCAATGTTACTTAGCCGGTCATTAATTTTGTCAAGCACCTTCAGCTTTTCTAAGTTCATCTGAATGTCCTGAATCAACAACAGCGTTCTCGGCTAGCACGCTGGAGTATGTCTGGAGTGGTCGTCTTCGTCCGAGCTCGAAACCCGTGTCCGTTATTGACTTTGTTGGGTGGAATTCTGCAGATTTTGGGGTAAAATAGATTATGAAATGCTATGTACTTGCTTGTCAACTTGAATTAGAGCGAAATTTTATCTTCTAGACCCGTTTATGCTGGAGCGCTAAAAACAAACGTCTATTCCATCACCTCTCTCATCCCAATCTTCTTGGAATGACAGAAAGCTGTGTACTGATCGGCAAATGGCAAAAATTTAATACTCAGACAAAAATTTTGCCTCAAGTCCTTTGATCCAACAATTTGAAATGATGCCCAACGAATGATCCTCGTGCACATTCAAAGAACCAGTGTGGTGGCAAGCATTAAGAATGGGATAAAACATTTTCTTTTCTCGACAACTGCAACTATTGCTGAGAAAAGCCTGTTAATACATTTAATTTGCATCCTGCTTACAAATCTCACAGTTCCCTGCCTTCACAGCTGAAGAAAAATCCAGAGCCCAAAAACACTTTTTTTTATACACACAAGTATTGTATTAAGATCACTTTTGTACGTGAATGAAAATATAAACTTGACACTGGTTTCCTTTTACCTGTGTCCCGGGGACCTGTGTACTTGGTTCATTCGCAAGAATAATCTTACTGTAAGTACATGTACCTCAGAAATGAAGCTCTTAACATTTTATTCATATTAAAATGAACTGAAACTGTTGCTCTCAAGTTGCAGAGGGCATCTTCCCTTTAAATGATATTCAGTCAATACCACTAGAACTGTATCTCAACAGTTGTGGTGTAAAATAAAAAAACCTATCTTAGGATGATTACCATGGGTTAAAACTGTCAAGCAAGAAAGGTCCAGTCAACATAATTCCAGTATCAGTCAGAATTGTGCTTGCAGCAAGACCAGTCTTACCATAAGTAGGGTGGTAGGAAAAAGCAAAAAAACTCAAAAGAAAGCATTAATTTTTTCCTTTTTAAAGTGATGGGCCAGGCCATTAATATATGCACCCTTTAACTTCAACTACCTTAACTTGTCCATTTTCTTTATAGTCTGTCCAAGTTGTCCCATCTGTAGATGACTGTAGGGTGTAAGACTCCACCCACTGACTCCCCTGGGAATTCCCCTGAGTGGATACAGCACAGATGATGTAAGGAATCTGTAAGTCAATCTGTAGATATGGACTGCTGTCACTTGTGGATGCACACCATGATGATCCCGCTACGAAGTTCAGTCTACCGTTCTTTGCTGGTGTGCTGGCATTCAGTTCAGAAGAAGCATTTAACTGATTGTCGAGAATGTACCAGCTCACTCCTACATCAACTTGTTCACATGATGCTACAAAAAGGGATAAAACATTGAAATTACTGGTTGCCTAGAATGCATCTATCAGCTAGACCTATTTAAGCATCTTGTTCAAACGAATGTTAAAACATACAGTATTGCACCCGCTTACAAGAAGCTACTTTTTTTAAAGTCTGGCATATCTTTTGAGACAACGGGTTTTTTGGATTTTGTTCTGCCATTTAACGCTCGCGCATTCCGTTAAAAAATTTCTTAACCATTAAAGTTTTGCTTTGCCCGACTGTTCCACGCTTATCGTTATCTTTTAAAAGGGAAATGGAATCCATTTAAAAACTTGTGTTCAGTTAACCGTAAACTATTCCCGCGTGCCATCCTTTTAACACTGGTGGCTGTTTTTGCTTTCCAGGTCACATTTCTTAGTGATCCCTTCAAGGGATTTCCTTCCAAGATGTGCCTTTCTTTATTTTTTAAGTACAAATNTCAACTACCTTAACTTGTCCATTTTCTTTATAGTCTGTCCAAGTTGTCCCATCTGTAGATGACTGTAGGGTGTAAGACTCCACCCACTGACTCCCCTGGGAATTCCCCTGAGTGGATACAGCACAGATGATGTAAGGAATCTGTAAGTCAATCTGTAGATATGGACTGCTGTCACTTGTGGATGCACACCATGATGATCCCGCTACGAAGTTCAGTCTACCGTTCTTTGCTGGTGTGCTGGCATTCAGTTCAGAAGAAGCATTTAACTGATTGTCGAGAATGTACCAGCTCACTCCTACATCAACTTGTTCACATGATGCTACAAAAAGGGATAAAACATTGAAATTACTGGTTGCCTAGAATGCATCTATCAGCTAGACCTATTTAAGCATCTTGTTCAAACGAATGTTAAAACATACAGTATTGCACCCGCTTACAAGAAGCTACTTTTTTTAAAGTCTGGCATATCTTTTGAGACAACGGGTTTTTTGGATTTTGTTCTGCCATTTAACGCTCGCGCATTCCGTTAAAAAATTTCTTAACCATTAAAGTTTTGCTTTGCCCGACTGTTCCACGCTTATCGTTATCTTTTAAAAGGGAAATGGAATCCATTTAAAAACTTGTGTTCAGTTAACCGTAAACTATTCCCGCGTGCCATCCTTTTAACACTGGTGGCTGTTTTTGCTTTCCAGGTCACATTTCTTAGTGATCCCTTCAAGGGATTTCCTTCCAAGATGTGCCTTTCTTTATTTTTTAAGTACAAATAAAGTTCCATCATTGCCTGAGGTCTCATTTCCGCAATATATGAAAAATGAAAGTTATTATTCCGCCATTGTGATGCAACCAAAAGTGCTTTTGAACTGAAGAGCAATACTAGACGAAACTGATCACGATTCGGAAAGAAGTCAGTAAGGATGGGAAAATGGGAGGTTCAATGAGGGCTTTATAAAAGATATTCATCGCAAATTGGATGGAAATAAATACTTCGCTGTTTGACTTACATGGTGTGAAACTATGCTTCAGGACGTAAACGTGCAAAGCATCGATATATTTTGACTGTAAACTTACCAGATACCTTTCGTTGTCCCTAAAGACAAATTGCCACGAAGAAATATAAGATAATTTGCTTGTTATCTACGTGCTATCTTAGGCAAAAAAACAGCAATACAAAGTACAATTTGCGCCCTATCTTTTTAACATTTGCCCTCGATTAAGAGCGGCTGTCTGTAAATATCGAGAATTTGCCTTCAAAACCAAGAGAGGATAAAGGGGACAGAGAAGGCATCCCCCATACACACCCTATCCCATAGGTAATTCGTCTCGAGTCATTTTTAGAATCGGGATAAAGTTACCTCGCGCGCTGCGTGGATGTTTCGTGGAGGTTTCGCATGACTAAACGCCGTGCAAAACATGTCGGGCGAAAGGCAATGAAAGCGTAAAGAGATCGACAGCATTCCTAAATATTGACGCGAAATGAGTCGGCGCTCACCTGGGAAAAAGGAATCGCTGGACTCTTTGACAACCACGAAATCAGTATAACTCGAAGTTGACGTAACCTCAGTGCTTTAACAATTTAAAATGAGAAATTTCGCCGGTCTATTGAAACCGAGTACTGCAATGCTGATCGTACTACGTGAAAATCAACTCTGCAAGACATCAACACGACACCGAAAGAACTCAAAACAGAGCGGAATTGTAGTCGTAGACAGCTGTTTCGCCCTCGTTGGGGCTCGTCAGTATGGCGTAACAACCAGAAAGCTCTGGTGCATAATATCCGCGCACTCTGATTTAAGCTCTGACCTAGAACCCTCAACACCCACAGAATCACGCCATACCACGTGTCTTCTGGGGGGCAAGAGTCCAAGTGTCAAGTTGATGTCTCGCAGAGAAAATAAATAGTTGGCCAAAACCAACCTTAAACACATGGACAAAACCATGCAAAAATTACGGCACATCGGATCTATAAAAGATCTACGGCCCCAGAATACATAAAGTACAAACATTAACCACAAAGGACTGCAAAGGACCGCAAACGAATATGCCGGAAAACGTAGGATCTATAAAGACCTGATCAGCAAAAATGAAAAGTAGACATATTAAATTCTGCAAGCAGAATACTGCAATGCTGATCGTACTACGTGAAAATCAACTCTGCAAGACATCAACACGAGGGCGAAACAGCTGTCTATGGCTACAATCCCGCTGTGTTTTGAGTTCTTTCGGTGTCGTGTTGATGTCTTGCAGAGTTGATTTTCACGTGGTACGATCAGCATTGCAGTATTCTGCTTGCAGAATTTAATATGTCTACTTTTCATTTTTGCTGATCAGGTCTTTATAGATCCTACGTTTTCCGGCATATTCGTTTGCGGTCCTTTGCAGTCCTTTGTGGTTAATGTTTGTACTATTGAAACCGGTCGTTTGTACAATAAAGCAAGTAGGACGCCAATTGTTATTTTTGTTGAATAATAAAAGACTAATAAAAGAATAAATATCAAACCAGAAATTGCTCTCTTAGCTTCTCTTCAAACTGTAAATTATAAATGATCCTGAGAGAATATTCAGTGTGTTGAGGATTTCCCTGTTGTACTGTTAGCTCTATACAAGAGAGGAAAGGCGAAACTTTTTTAATTTCCGTTTCGCTGACACAGCTTTAGCAGAAATCTCTAAATAGTCGTTTTCGTCGACAAAACGAATAGCAATATCCCTCTCCGCGTCTTGCGCCATTTTGTTCTGCGTCAATTCGTGAAGGACGCGTGCCTCTGAGCGTGGGTCATGCACGCGGAACACATTCGCGCTATGTGATTGGCTGTTGTCTAATCCCCCTTGAGATATGTGGTGTTAAAAATAACTCGAGATGAATTACCTATGAAATGTGTGGGGTGAGAAAACCGCCAAAAAGTGAAATGCTGCCCCACGTCATATAGTCGCCGGTCTAAAACCTTTCAATTTTACCATTTTCAAAGCTCTCGGGAAGAAAGGCGATTGAAGGAAACAAGTTCATCTTTGGCAGGTAAGTAAGGCATCCCAGTTAAAATACTATTAGTAAAAATATTGCAAGATAATACATTTTTTACTCGGTTAAAAATCGCCCGAAGATTCCTATCTGGAGCACTTTCATAAGAAATGAAATTTTGGGAAACTTTAAAGGAAAAAATCACGGCTTGGTACATGAAATTTTATAAGAATCATTATACCTCAGTAAAGCCCTACTGTTGTAGTACAACATATGAAAAATCCAGCTTGGGCAATTAAAAAGCAACCCGCCGAGAGAGGTAAACGGGCAGTTCATTTTCGATGTCTTTGCATAAAATGCACGTTGAATTATCGTCACGCAACCGGGGGTAACACAAACTCCAAAGAATTGCCTTGAATTCACAATTTTTTTATTATTCCGCCATTGTGATGCGAACAAAAAATGCTTTTGAACTGAAGAGGAATACTAGACGAAACTGATCACGATTCGGAAAGAAGTCGGTAGAGATGGGAAAATGGGAGGTTCAGTGATGGCTTTATAAAAGATATTCATCGCAAATTGGATGAAAATAAATACTTCGCTGTTTGACTCGCATGGTGTCAAACTACGCCTCAGGACGTAAACATGCAAAGCATCGATATATTTTGACTGTAAACTTACCAGATACCTTTCGTTGTCCCAAAAGACAAATTGCCACGAAGAAATATAAGATAATTTGCTTGTCATCCATGTGTTAAGCAAAAAAACAGCAGTACAAAGTACAAATTGCGCACTCTCTTTTTAAGATTTGCCCCCGATTAAGAGCGGCTGTCTGTAAATAAAGACCTGTAGCATCAGGTTTTTCATGGGAAACTGCAATCCGCAAAATGTCACGTGACCACGGCCTTGCGGTCACGTTTGCTGTTTGCAGTTCACGTTTGAACCGCAAGAAGGGCTTCCAGCGGTAATATATTCCTTTCTGCCGTACTAACAAAGGAAAGTATTCTGTTCCAATCCAGAGTTAATTTTTTTTGTCTATCTTTTTACTGAATTCATAACTCAACTCAGTCTCTGTTTAGGTCCTATTTTTGACGTATCACTCTGCGAATTTCATTTTATTTTGCTTATTTCTTTGAGACTGGGAAGCCCAGGCTTCATAAAGTCTGGTTTCTTCTGGGCTCCCTTGCAACATTACAATTCCTATTTATATCCTTGTATTGTATTATATTTTGGCTAAGTAAAAATGAACTGAACTGAACTGAACTGAACGCCTTGCTAAAGTTTGAAATCTCGGCAACGTGAAACTGCAAACGCGTAACTGCGGTTTGCGGTTTGCGGTTTGCGGTTTGCGGTTTGCCTGATGCGAAAGGTCTCTAATATGGGAGAATTTGCCTTCAAAACTGAAATTTCCAAATACTTCATTTTCTGTCAGGAAAAACCCTTTGGTGAAACATTTTCAAAAATCACAATCAAAGTTTCCAAAGGATTTCCTTTTTCGAGAAAACCGCCAAAAAGTGAAATGCTGCCCCACGTCATATAGTCGCCGGTCTAAAACCTTTCAATTTTACCATTTTCAAAGCTCTCGGGAAGAAAGGCGGTTGAAGCAAACAAGTTAATCTTTGACAGGTAAGTAAGACATCTCAGTTAAAATACTATTTAGTAAAAGTATTGCAAGATAATACATTTTTTACTTGGTGAAAAATCGCCCGAAGATTCCTATCTGCAGCACTTTCAAAAGAAATGAAATTTTGGGAAACCTTAAAGGAAAAAATCACGGCTTGGTACGTGAATTTTATAAGAATCATTATACCTCAGTAAAGCCCTACTGTTGTAGTACAACATAATATATAGATTTAGCCAGGGCTAAAAGCGAAGCTCCTATTAACTCGAATTTATAATTCAAATCAAACAATAACCTTGTATTCCACAAATCAGTTAACTTTAGAGCACATTCATGTGATTTTTGAGGGAACGACTACGTGATTTTCGAGAAAAATAATTTGCAAACAGTCCAAGCTAAGAGTGAACTTAATCTTACATCGAGTTGATAGCCTTTATATGTACACCCAAAAAATAGCAATCATCTTCGATCACATTTAAGAGCAATAATGGCTCTTGATCACAGTAGATTAGGCCTGGAAAACACCTGCGCCGTTTTCATCATACAGACCCTCGGACAGAATGCAGTGTTTCACAATTTTGCAATACAAATTGCACTCATTCAATATTCAGCACGATCAAAGCACGTGTGGGCTTTTAGCGAAACCGTCAAAAAAATTTCCAAAATCACCTATACGGCTAGCCAGTTCTCACTTTTGACAAGTCGACTGTTTAAATTAAGATTAATATAGTTACACGCTT